GAGGAAGGCTTCGGGGGCTCTGCCTCTGTCACAGGCGCGGAAATATCCTGACATTGACTCATCGGCGTTCCTGGAGGCCGGCGGGGAGAGAAATGCCCAAAATCCTCAGATGACCTGCCACGATGAGCCCCTTGGTGCTACTGACAGCTGCATTCTCCATGCAGGCACCCTGCACGACCTGGTGGATAAATGGGTTGGCACTCTCCTCGAATCCAGTTTCTGGCGTCGTACGAAGAAAGTTATAGCGAAATCCCACAGATACGGACGTATTTAAGTCTGACGGAGGGGTAACACAACCTTGGGATTCGCACGTAAATTGGGATAAATGGGAGAGTGTGACGAAAAGGACTAATTTTAACGCAGAATGTTCTATTAGGAGTAGTGGCTCGGTGGCCCCTGAGACTATGGAGTTTGGATTCCAGCAGGACGAAATAAAGTACAGAGAGTACAGCGTTTCGATGGTTGGGTTTTCCTTTGCGTCGTCGCTTTGGTCAAAATTTGAAAGGAGGATATCATACCGTATCTCATCATGGTCGTAGAGGAGAGAGTTGTTCAGAGTTTCGAAAGTTTCCGTTCCCCATAACGCCAAGAATCTCGCAGCCCAAGTACACTTCTAGTACAGCAAAATTACATTTGGATGTGTTGTTGTTCGCACTCGCACTTTGCAGTCGGCCGTTGGTTGGATGTGTTGTTGCATATCGACCGTTGGACGGCTCGCTTGAAAATCCCTTTTCTAGAATTCACCCTCGGCACTGTTCCCGATGACCCCGGCAGTCCAAAGTCCGACCAGGCCCCACCAGGAGACCTTCCAGCCGCGCCATAGGCCGTCGAGTCCTTGACCCTTACGGTAGACCGTTTCTGCAACCTTTGGCTTGCCGCCCCTGACTTTCTTTACCGGTGCGGGTGCGGTGGGGATCGCCCGGGTGCCTTCCTCATTCATAATGTAGAGCATGGTTCCGAGAACACCTTTGTAAGGCCCAGCCGGGACAATCGTCTCGAGCTTCTGGTCCTTGCCTGATAGGGCCCGGACGTGTGCGGGGGTGGAGAGAACGGCAACTTGTCCGCGCCGGAGAACCGTCTCCAGAGGAAGCTTGACGAACAGTGCCACCGAGGAAGCGCAGAATTTGGCAACTGAGAATGTCGTGGGAGAGACGCGGCTGTCGATAAGGAATCTAGTGCGCAGGACAAGTGGTGTCGACAGGGTGAGGATGGGGTGAATGAGCGAATGGAAGATCGTAGGGATGGCAAGCGAAGAGGGGCAGACGTAGGATGGGAGAGTACGCAGGGTCGAAAGTGTTCTCCTAGATCCCTTTGAATTTGGTGTGACGAGAAGTCTATGCCGGAGTTAGCACTGCTTTGGGATCCGAATGAATACGAAACAGCCAGTGACATACCTTGTGCGCACCAGGTCCAGAGGTGCGAGAATGAGGCCCGTTGCAACAGCCGCAGCAGCGGCAACGCACAGGGAGGCCCACGGATAGGGCGAGGCAATATCAATCAGCCGATCAATATCCTCCTTGACGCCGAGATCTGGCACATTGAACAAGGCGCTCAAAGCACTTCTGGACCAATTTTCCAACAGCGAGGAGAGCACAGAGTATAAAAACGTTGCGTTCGATCCCTTCCACACGCCCCAAGCTCCCTCCTTTTGCCACAGTTGGCCAATAACTTCCATCAACGAGTCGGATCGACGGATTGTGATCTGATGAGCCGGTACGGCCTGCTGCTTCGCTGCTGGCGTCTGTGGAGGCGTTGAGGAGGAGGGAAACTGGCGGCTCCGGTGTTCCCTGGAGTAGGACGGGGTCGGCGTACTCGGGACGTTGGAGGTGAAGTAGGCAGGTTCGTCGAGATCCGAGTCGGAATCGGCTTCGTCATATGCAGCATTTCCATAGCCAGAACGCTTTCTCTCGGAGACAGGCGTGGCCAGGGGCGTAGGTACTGCTGCCAAAGTCACGTCATCGTGACTTCGGATCTGCAGAATCGTCTTTGCAACCTCGAAAGGCTGGGCCATCAGGACGGAGGTGTACTTCCATAGTAGCTCATCGACGAGGTCCTTGACAGTCTGAACGACTGAAGGAGATGGCTCACTGATATAGTCCTTGTAGTCGATGTCGGAAAAGATGTCGCGTGCTTTAGACGCGTACCGTTCGCTTGTTGCATTGGCTCCATGACGGGCAAAAGGGTTCGGTGCGGATGAGGCAGATGTCGGATCAGGAGGCTCTCCTATAGTCGGCGGCTTGTAGTATGGTCTCAGGGGATTCACCCCTTCTCGATGAGTAGCCATGTTCTCGTTTGGCGTTTGTTTATGGCTCAACTCCCGTGATGCATGATTTCGTGAGCTTTCCACTTTTGCTATCAATTTTGCATGATGAAATGGAAATCACCTCGGAGATAAAGACTAGCGGGGCCAGCACACGACAGTCAACGCGCCTTCCCTGGTGCTCTCTGGTGCTCTTGCTGCTTGGTAACAGCTGTAAATAACTCCGCTGATGAACTGACCAATGGGATCCGCCCCTTTGAGGATTCTGACGGCAGGAAAGGCCCATGGCACCTTCTCCGTGCCTTAGGTACCTCCGCTGCAGTGGGCCAGGGTCTCCGGAGGCGGAACATTGCGAATCGCCGGCCGATAAGCCCGAGGGGTGGGGGCCTTATCGGAGCTCCTGCAGGCGTCCGAGCCTATAGAATTTTCGCTGAATCCAATGCATCTCCACAGTTCCCTCGCGCATTTATCGAAGCTTTCCAACGACTTTTTGTCATTGCTCGCGGGCACCCACCACCCACGAACCGAGCAAGCTAAACAACTCATCTGACTGCTGAACCCTGGTGTTGCTGTGTACAATTGCCTCACAACTCTTCGTTTTTACTTGTTCTCCTTCCACCGTGCTCCCGAACTCGAGGGTGGCTTCGATCGATTCCCTTGACACTGAGAAGGGCAAGCAATCCCGGCTGTGAAGCCGAGAACGGACTCAAACCCAGCAACCATGTCTTCAACCAGACTCAGCACAAGCCTCCGCAGGATGGCTGCCAGCGCATCCCGACTGGCCCGCCCAGTGCAACGGCAGACCCGAAGCATCCACAACCAGATCACATCCAAGAGGACAACACAGCTTCCCTCCAGACAGCTTCAGTGGCCCTCAGCGCGTGCTTTCTCGGCTTCGGCTGCCCAGGCGCATGGCCACATCACCCCTCCGAAGGCCGGCGAAGAGTGAGACCGTCCACATCAGTCTACCGAGACTTATACTGATAATCTCCCATAGGTTGTGGGTAACTTTCGTTGACAAGGACGGAGACGAGTTCAAGATCGCTGTAAGCGAAGGGGATAACCTTCTTGACGTTGCGCAGGACAATGACTTGGAGATGGAGGGTATGTCACAACGCTCTTGGCGGCAACGTCAGGGCATGTAATATGCTAACTGTGTATCTTTAGGTGCTTGCGGAGGCTCTTGCGCTTGCTCAACGTGCCACGTGATCGTTGCCGAAGAGGAATACTACGAGAAGATGCCCGAGCCCGAAGATGACGAGAACGACATGCTCGACCTGGCCTTTGGATTGACCGAGACGAGTCGATTGGGCTGCCAGATAACCATGACAAAGGAGCTAGACGGCCTCAAGATTAAGCTGCCCTCGATGACACGGAACCTTCAGGCCAGCGACTTCAAATAAACAAGCACCCTCTTTCAGCATTGCGGCGTTGGAAGCGGCATACCACACAATTATTTAATCATCTGTACTATATCATACATACACCATGTCAGAAAAGGAAAGGAAAGGACAGGGAGGGTTAGCGGGGAGAAAAAGCTGGGGAGGTGTTCTTCATCAATCAAGCGCGGCATCACGGATGGAATACATCGGCTCGGCTCGGCTTATGCTAGATATTGGCGGGTATCGAGGGACGGTGGGAGGGAAAAACGTCACTCCTCTTAAGCTCATAAACCTTGACAAGTCTGGTGGACCAATCTGGTGAACGAAGTGATGAAAAGAAACAGTCACGCCTGTACAAAGGCGTTGCAGAATTTTGGTTTGCCATTGGTATCCTTTTTGAATTAAGCCTCCTCCAAACCGCCCTTCTTCAGGCCTCCTCCTCCGGACGCAATCAGGTCCAAGAATCCCTTCTTACTCATCTCGTTGATCTTCTCCTCCCTCCGCACAACACCCACGACGCCATCCTTGCGCGCCTTCTTCTCCGCCTCAGCAGCCTTGACTTGCGCCGCTCTCACGGCGTTAAAGAGCTTGACAACACCTCTTTGCGCGACCTTGCGCAGCCTCCGCTCCGTCTCAATCATCTCCCCCGTTGACGTCTCCTCCGTCTCCGGCGCCACAAGGACATTGCGCACGCGGCCCTTCTCCATTGCCTCCTTCTTCTGCGCCCTCATCTGCTTGCGCGCCTTGGACTCGAGCGCCTGGTCGACGGCCGCCTGGGCGGCCTGGTGGGCCTCCGCACTGCGGGCGAGGACGGGGTCTGATCGTTTCGCGTTGGACAGTTTGGTAGACAGAATTTTCGACATTGACGTTGAGAAGGCAGACGGATCATTGCGTTTAGACTTGATGAAATTGGGATTGCCACCATCGTCGCTCTCGTCTTCTTCTGAGTCGGAATCCGAGTCGGTGCCTACGGGCGCGTCTCTGCTCTTCTTGGGCTTGGGGGCAGGTTTTGTCTTCTGTTTGGGTGCTGCGGGCTTTTCGTCGCCTGAGCTGGCCGAATCATCGTCCGAGGCAGCGCCGTCATCGACAGCCGCGTTATGAATATCATCGTCAGAATCGAGAAGGTTTACCGCATCGAATTCTTGTTCTTCGTTGTCGGAGGCGGATTCGGCTTGCTTCTTTTCTTGTCGCTTTTGCTTCTTGTTTGGGGGCGCAAGACGGCCGTCATTTGTCCGCTTCTTCGTACTTGTTCCGGCCATGGTTGTGGAATATGTGTTATAGTCAATTGGTGTTGATGCAGTGTAGTGATTCAGATCCTCGACTTGGCTTGAAAAAGTTCCCCATGTCGTCTTGCAGGGTCAAATTTTTGGGTTCGGCAGGTGGGGCCATCTTCTTATCGTTGGTGTACTTCCTCCGATAAGCCTGTTCTCACCGAGACGCCGAGCGACCCTCACCGAGTCTACCTTGGTCCCACATGTTACGCCGCAAGACCCACACAGCGGTCGAGCGCCGATGTTCACCGCATAGTGCAGCAAATTCGTCGCATTGATGCGGCGCTCACACCGGGGTGAAGGCGCCCTCCCCATCGACAATGTTTGAAAAGTCCACCTAGGCGAATCCTCAAGCAGTCGACATTGGTAAATGATCAACGTCGAAGCCGGCTGCAAGTCAGTATTATCCTGTAGACAACAGCCCAAAGAAGTCACAGAGTTCTTTTGGAAGCTTACGCAACTTATTCTCTGTCTGGAGAGCCGCTGACCAAATCACGTTATAAAAAATAACAAAAAACAGCCGTGACCTAGCTGCCTATCCTCAGACACTATGTATGAAGCGGAAGGGCAAGACCACATCTACTCGGGCAAGTATTGCGGCATGTTGTCATCGTCGGCTTGACTTACCCTCCCAGAGATTTTTCGTACAACTTATTCGTAAAAGTCGGGGAGGTTCGAGCTTCTGACCTTACCATTTCGGGTCCCTGAAGCCGATAGATCACTGGGTACGCCAATAGCAACATTGGATGACCCCATGTTTGTCGGCGACGCATGCCATCACCATCTGAAGCCAATGTCACTGATTTACGCCAAACTTTTTGAACAAAAAAAACACCAATCTTAAACACAGTTTCGTTTACCTAGCTTAGGCCCGCCCTTACACTGAATCTAGGTTCTTGTCAATTATAGCATGTTTTGTAACGATGGTTCTGTACATCATAGCCAATCAAATGCCCCTCTACGGAGTCGGAGAGCTTTAGCATCCATTAGACAGAGCGGATCGGGTCAGTCTTAGGTCTCGCTTCCGTTCGACTCAAACTTTATGTTCGGCGAAACTCCTGCTATACATCACGTAGAGGGAAAGCTGTGCTTGTCGAATAGACCGCACTGACGCATCCCGCGCGCTTGCTGACTGGTCCTCCCATCGATCGCTTGTCATGGAAGGGCGTGATCGGTACGCAAGCCATGTTCTCATAGCCATACACCCCCTGGTCTCATCTGTACACAACAGTTCATGACGTTAAATTATGGGAATCCTTATCCATTATTGTATCAAGACCACAAAGCCCTTGGAAAGTGCCCCGATCCTGAGATCCCACAGTACTTCGCCTGCTGGAAGCTTTGATATTCCAAAGAGTTGCGTCGACGATGGATCCAATCTCGGCAGGATATAACTGATGTCTATCCCTGTTTGGCATGCTCTGTACGCTGTCTCAATCAGCCTCGGGGCAAAGCTACCTGTGATGACCACCTCAGTCTAAACATGAATATTTCCAGCCATGAGGCAGGTGTTTCACTCGTGACTATCTCGGATTTGGCTTGGTTCAAGGCCGCTTTGAGTGGAAAATAACAACGTATCGTTTTTCTTGCAAGGTGGATTTGGGCACAGAGGGTCGACTTTCGTCGTCGACAACCATGCTAGAGCCAAGCCTTACAGAACTCGGCTCGAGGCGCCTGGGTTCTGCATATCGAACGAACCATCCTGAACTGAATGATGTAAATGCCTAGTAGCTTCAGGTCGGTGAATACCCCTGAATTATGGATCTGATTCTAAGAAATGAAGACCCTTCTTCGATCCTTTGCGTTCAAGAGGCTTAGGTAGTATGTTGATCACATCAGGCAGGGCACATCAATCTTTATGCTTGCTTCTAATTCCCTCTTGTAAAATGGATTGAGGTGGTACCCGTGATTTCCTAAGACTACGAGAGGCTAAGGTATGAAATACGACGGCAAACCTCTCCGGTCTACAGTCGGCATGGCTTGCCGTGAGTGCATGACAGAGTTCTCCTGCCTGGCAACCAGCTTTGAGCTCGCGTAAGATTGGTGGAGCAATGCGTAAATGTCTGGAACTGTGGCATAAATTGTCTGAGACTACGGAACGGCAGCCGAAGGAGGTCTACATGTACACACCCTAAGAGGTAAGTCTTCTACTCTGGGTAGCTTCCGCCTAGAGCAAAGAGGAACCCCTGTTCGCCCGCCCCCAAACACGTGCCGGCAGCGGACACTAGAGTGATAATGTCGCTAGAGGTAGGGCGGAACATTGTAGATCTCGGACTCATGGATCACCCAGCCCGACCTTGGAAGTGATATTACAGTGGCTTGAGGTCTCTCACAGGACCGGATTAAAGATAACTAGACCGCCAACGGTGATGTAGTGATTCCGACAAAAATCTCCCTGACCAAAGGTCTCTCTCAGCCTGCCTGTCACTTGATACTTGCTGGTTGGATTCCGCCCCCCCCACCCAGCGTGCTTTACTCCCTTCTTCATTCTTCATGAACATACTACTCGACTTCAGGATACCGCTGGAGACCATATCGTCGCAAAACTTTCGTCCATCTCATTTGGTCCAAGGCCCCGGCCAATAACACAACAGATGCGTAGACACTTTGACTTTCTCCATCGGTAGGTGGGTGGCTAGCCTTTGTTCTTTCTATCCGCCGTTTAACTTTAAGCTTTCGGGCTCTGCAGGAGTACAGGTCACAGACCTTCGGACTCACCACGTTACCGTCTAAACCATCTCAAAACGTAATGACTCCAAGAACAACCGTCGCTTCGACCTTCTGCAGACGCAAGCCCCAAACTCTGTCAGCTCTATCTACACCTTGACGTTTTCATCCGAAACCGATGCCATCTTTCGATCAGCCTTCATCTGCTTCTGAAGCTCCCTGGCCCGTTTTACACCGAACCCGTGGCTGAACACCTCGCGAATATCCTCAAGCGTCATGTTCTTGACCTCGGGGTAGCAGAAATAGATCGAGACCCACCCGAGCACACAGATGGCTGCATAGAATCCAAACGTTCCAGAGGGTGTGGTGTTTTCCATCTGTGTCAAGAAGGTGGAGGCGACGATAATGTTGGAACCCCAGCAGCTCATCGTCAGCATCATGGTGCCCATGGCGCGCACCTCCATCGGGAAGAACTCGCTGCTCAGCCAGGCTGTGTTGCCAATACCTGAGGAGTAGAATCCGACAAAGAACACCATGCTCACGAGAACGATGATGGCCGGCGGTCCCACTGTAGCCCCCTCTGCAAGGGATAGATCATGGTCGACGGGGATCCATTTAAAGGCGATCGCGGCCACAACCAGGAATAGACCCATGAACTGCACTGTGCAGAGTAAAATCCTGCGACGACCGACTCGGTCTACGAGTAACAGGTTGACAAGCGTAAACATGAAGTTGGTGCCGGCAATGATAGTGCCAACTGCCACAGGGTTACTGAATCCAACAAGGGAGAAAATCTGGTTTGCTATTAATCTATACTCTTTTCAAGGAATTAGGGACTTGGAAACTTGACTTACGGTCGGCGAGAAATACATGAGCGAGTTGAAACCGCTAAGCTGGCTAATGGCCATGAGTCCACACGCCGCAATCAGGGCGCGGAGGTTCGCTGGGACAACATAGAGCTGCTTGAGCACCCACCATTGCGACTTTCCGGCGTTCATGTTCTTGGCCTCTTCGACGTGGATGGTGATGTGACGGACTTTCATGCGGACTTGCTCGTCCGTTCCATTAGGGAAAATCTTTCGAATAACCTTCTCGGCCTCTTGTTCCTTGCCGTGGTAGATCAGCTGTCTTGGCGACTCTGGGCAGAAGGGCAGCATGCACGCCAGAATGATGGCTGGAATCGCGCCGCCGCCAACCATGTAACGCCACCCGCCTTGTACGTGCGCGAAGCCGGCACCGACGCCATAGCTGACTAGTTGGCCGCCCGTGATGCACATGTTGTCGAGACCAATCATACGACCGCGGTATTTGGCAGGGGACAGCTCGGCAATGTACCTGTTTTTCATGTTAGCGAGGGTCCATCACCATCGAATCTTGCGCCATTTGATGCTATTGTGACATACATCGGAACGATCATGGCTGCGGAGCCGACGCCAAACCCAACGACCAGACGACCGACGGTCATCAAGGCCAACGAGTTGGCGGCAGCTTGAATGATAGCGCCGGCAGTGAACAGAAAGCTGCCGACGTAGATGGCAATCTTGCGCCCGAAGCGGTCTGCCGTGGCTCCCGCAAAGATGGCACCGATGAAGGCGCCACCGGAGGTGATAGACGTGATGAGCTCCTTTTCAGACGAGGAGAGGGTGTGCCCGAGATCATTGTCGATGTAAACCAACACGGCTGATATGATGCCGGTATCGTAGCCGAAGAGCATGCCGCCGATGGCCGCGGTGATGGACACTAGCCATGAGAACTTGCCCGTCTGGGTCTGTTCGATAGAGTCGAGCCCATCAAGGCTGACTTGAATCTCAGAGGAGCCGTCAGCTACGGTTTCCTTGTGCTGGGTCAATTCTTTGAAGTCTTTGGTTTCCATAATGGCGGTTCGTTGCGTACAAGTGGCCGGGTCAAGGTATGAGTTGTTTTGTGTTTGAATGGGGATGGCAAAAAGAGGCGATTATGATTACGAGAGAAGAAGGAAAGGTCCCAATTGGCTTGAGGGGCAGTACTCCGTAGATTGCTGTGATAATCTGGGGAAGACCTGGGGTAGAGTGAAGTCTTTATATCAGCAGTCGGAGTGAGGACCTGAGGGCGTGCAGTGAAGCAATAGGATTGCCCGAGTAAGGTGTTGGTTCATCAGTGGCGCCTTGCTAGACTTTGTCGAGGGCCCAATTAGCTGGTAAGAAAGTAGAAAGCTCTACGCGAGTTATCTTCAATGGCACCTTAGTTCGCGCAGGTTGGCTGATCTCGAGGGAGATGGAAGGTCACGATACTGTGTGAACCAATCGTAGGATGGCGAACACCGAGAAATACCTTAGTCCTTCATCCATGTCGGTAGAAGTGCCAAGCCAAGTCGAAGTCTAGACAAGCCCAGCCATTGAAGCTTCCCCCGGATTTTCCCCAGATTCGTGTAATGAACAAGATAAGTCGTATCCCGCGGGACTCTTGTCCCAGCCCGGTATCCATCCGGAAGTTCAAACCAGCCTAGGGGTATGTGTAGAAACCTCCATCTCATCACCACGAGGGCGAGTTAGTCTAGTGCCGGTGCTGTACGGCGCTGGTGGAGTTCTTAGCGGTGTCTGCAGGGCGCGTGCGGGGGAAAGTTGCCTATCCAGTTTCAAATAGGCAAGTCGGTCTTATTTCGCTCGCGTTTCCTATTTGACCTGCTTTCATCCATGTCCACTTCATCGTCTCCCATGTCTCCCGGCTACCGCCAAAACCCAACGACTTTCCCGCTTTGGCCGGGTTGCCTAAATCCAATGTCAGTAGGCCATTGTTGCAAGTTGCCAACCTGGAAAGCAGCCGTTGTAGCAGTACTCGTCAGTCGCCGTTCTACGTTTCTCGTCCCCCCCAGCACCCCCGACACCAACTCACCACTCTCACACAATACCGTTTTGAGTCTTTCTCCCCCCTATGAACCGTCAAATCAAGGCCCAGGAAATCTCTGCCCACCGGCTGGTTTTGTTGTATGCCACTGTCTGCGCGGAAACCACACGTATCAGCGCACATAATCGACGCTGGACAAGTCCAGTGCGCGGCGGGTCCAGAATATGAACCGAGTACAGACCCGGACGAATCCGTGTAACGTCAGTATTCTTTCCAATTCTGTCACTTCCCTCAACCCCGTCGCGTCCCCTCGTCTGTCTTAGGGCCGGCGAACATGTCCATGTCTGCGTGGCGTAGGATCACAGTTTTTACCCGATGGAGCCATCTGCGGTTTGTGATGCCACCAGGAACAGTTTTGTTGACACGCGTGCTGTTGTAGATCTGCAGGTTAAGGTAAGTTTCGATTCCGAAAGTTGTGTATTCCGGCGAGATGGACCTGGCAAGGCTCATGGTTCACGATTGTTCCCGCACGCCTTCCAAACCCGGTCTTTCTCAGCTATCATGAATGCCTATTCTAACAACATGTTTGGTTCTCCACGCTAGACACCTCAAATGTAAGCGACCCGATTATCCATTTTGCGGCTCCTTTACCTCCCGCCGGTATCTGTACCATCCCACCGGGCATTTGTTCGTGGCTGAGGCTCTTTGGCGCCATATCTCAAACTCGGCGAATATTTCCTTGATTGCGGTCCATGCTTGTCACTAACCGAGACCACGTGCAGGTGATTCAAGTCGATCAACGTGTTCCAATTGTCGAAAGTCTGGAGTCGAATGTACCCGTGGATATAGTGTACGCTTTAGGCACACACTGAACCCTAGGTTCGTGGATCCAAGTTCAGTAATCATACCTCAGCCGAGCCCCTCCAGCTGACTTGAGCCCTGGTTCTGCGATTAGTGTCCAGCCAGAGAGAGGAACTGGGGCTGCCAAAAGCGAGTACAGCTTCTCGGAACAGCAAACTTGGGTACGAACAACGAACCGCTCTTTCAGCTTTGTTGACGAGACCGAAGATGTGGTCAACATCCATGCTGTTGTCACCGGGGAGCCCGGGGCCGACGACGGCAGCACGAACACCTACTTAGGGACTCCACATAGACATGAAAGTCCACAGGACTACCTTGCTTTACTATCTGCTGCTTCTTCTCCAGTTCCAGATTTGCTGTCTCACTCTCGAAGCTCAGGAATAAAATCGCACGCCTCACATGATGCCCTCTACGGCCGGGATGGCATCAGGAAGCAACGAAGACACTTGCGACCCAGTCCAAACGCGAGCTCTGCAACACAAGATGCCAGACAAAATCCAGCCAAAGAGTTCCATCATCACGACGACACGTCTGCATCGAGCGGTCATACTGGAGCCTCGATACAATGGGATCTACTTCACCTTGGAGAAGATTTGACACTCGATTTTCCAAACATCCAACACATCTTTGAAGCGATAGATCCCCAACTAGAAGACAAATCCACCGGCAACGACAGAACCTACGTCGAAACACCACTATGGCCCCTTCAAGACCGTCAGGAAGCCTTCCTCTACAGATACTTCGTCGACAACCTCGCACCTCTCTTCGACATGTGCGACAACGATAGACACTTTGCCAAGGTGGTGCCGAAGAGAGCAGTCTACTGCCCGACACTACTGAACGCGATGTTTTCAGCTTCCGCAAAACGTCTTAGTCGAACAATTGGCGTTGATGGAGTCATTGCCGACCGATACCATCAAATATGCCTTCGCTCGTTGATCCCGGCGCTCTCGTCCTCTACGGCCGTCGTCGACGACAACCTTCTGGCTGCTGTTGTAATCCTGCGCTTCACGGAAGAAGTCGATATCGGTTCCATGACCCTCGAGTCCCATCTGATGGGTACTAGAATCCTGCTGGCCGCCCAAGAAAACGCCGCCGATTTTAGCGGTCTGCGACTTTCTGCATTCTGGCTCGCCCTGAGGCAAGAGATATATATGGCCTTCGTTCACACACGCCCAGTCTATCACAGCTTCTTCCCCAGCATCAAACGAATACAGGAACGCGGTAACAGCGACGAGAATGCCGTGGATTGCCATTATGCCAACAAAGCCGTAAGCATTTGTGCAATGTGTCTAAGCTACTGTTACGGCCAGGAAGACAACCATGTAAGGAGTTACGCGCAATTGAAAGAGGACCTTGATGTATGGTGGAAAGAGAAGCCATGGTACTTCGACGCCATGTGGGCAAATCCAGAACCTGGTTTTCTGCTGGAAGAACAGTACATCACCGATGCCGCTGTCGCTGGGTTGCAGCACTATCACCTGGCGCGGATGCTCTTGATCGCCCACAACCCTAAGGTTGCGAGGCTTGGGACGGCTTTCCGGGCAATGGAGGAAGAACTCAAACAGACCGTTCGTGTGATATGTGGCCTTGCAGTGGTAAGCTTGCGGCTCATCGACGCCATCGATTTAGGGGAAGTTGCCTGCTAACTGCCTGCTGCTCCGTAAACAGGCGAACGAGAGAACACCTCCAGCATACGTGTAAGTGCCATCAAGTGGCAAGCAAACACCCTCCTCAAACATCTTTTGACCGACGCGATACAATAGGAACGCATGCATAGCAATCACCATGGCGGGCGATCGTTTTACAGATCGGAAAGAACAAGAGGAGTTGTACAAGATCCTTGTCAAGACTGACAGGCGGTTGGGGTGGCCGACTCATGCAGCGTAAGTAGACCCTCGCGCCAGCCCTTTGGCCACTGCAACACAACACTAACAGCGAGCAGACAGTCTCAGATCAGAGAGGCTTGGGGCTGGGAAGACTCCCCATCACCCCCTGCGATGCCTATTGCGGCCATGTTGAACGCCCGCGCACGAGCTGGGACGGCGGATTGATCAGAGTCGACCAGCGAGCAAAGCAAGCTCTAGCGTTCTGTATAAACCTGTTAGTTGATAACGACTCGTACTTGCTCAACCCTTGCAACTACTTCACTTACTTGCGTAAGGGGTCGAGAAACAATTTACTTGGCATTGTCTATCAGATGACCACACTCTTTGCAAGCCTTGCTCCGTCTACCTAAGTACGTGTTTACATTGGTGACTACATGTGATTATTCTTCCTGCTTTGACTCCCTGCGCCAAACTTTCAAAGGCATCGGACTCGGCATCAGGTTCATGGCCTCCCGCCTCTCCGGTTCCCACGCGGGGAAGGGCAAGGCGAAGTTGTATCTATGCAAGACACTCGCCAACAAAACCGTCTGCTCCAGATAACTGATATTCCGTCCGATGCATCCTCGTGCGCCGGCACTGAAACTGACAAAGTACGGTTGCAGTTCCTTGCCCTTGTCACCGAGCCAGCGCTCTGGGATGTAGGACTCGGGTTCCGGGAAGATCTTGGGATCTCTGTGGACGATGTAAGCCGAGATGGAAACCGTCGTACCTCCAGGGATGAATTCTCCAAGAACATACGCCCCCTCAGGCGGCGTTCGTCGCGGAAGACCAAAGGTCGTTGGCGGCACTATCCGGAGAGACTCGTCGAGACACGCCCTGAGGTACGGCAAGTGCTTGACCTTGTCGTAGGGCGCAACCACCTCTTCAGGGTCCAGAACGGCATCAATTTCCTCGCGCAACTTTTCCATGCATCCGGGATTCTTCAATAGCCAGTACATGACGTTGTTCATGGCGATAGCTGTTGTGTCTGAGCCGGCATTCATCATGATGGACACCTCTGCGACAATCTCGCCCCAGTCGAGCCCATTAGGGGTTCCGTTTTTATCTTCCATCAAAGCCTGGAAGAAATCTTCCAACTTTTCACCAGCCTGGTAGCGTTTCAGTCGTTGGGTTGCGCGGTGGTAGACGATGCCATCCCATCCCTTGTTCAGGTTCCACCATCGACGAAAAGTTGGCGAGATCAGAGACGTCAGACGATGATTGAACTTGTACCAATCACCAGCCCAAACGGTGATGGACTGGGCGACGGCAGTGGAATGCAGGCAGGCTCTGTAATTCACCTCGTGAATGGATCCGTCCATGCGCTCGGCGCGCACGAGATCATGACCCTGGTCTAGAAACCCCAGTTTCTCAGACAGACCTATGTCAGCGATAGCGTCGAGAGTGAAGTAGTTCGTCCACGCTCGGTAATCGAAAGTAAGATCGGCCGCGTCTGGACGAAGGACCTCCTTCAGAGGCTGGGTACAGGCCTTGTCGCAACCGACGATGAAGCGTTCAGTCTTGTCAGCCACTTTGTGTTCCCAGTTCTCGAGGTTCTTCAATGCGTATGCCGCCGACAGAACCTTGCGTTTCCGGGCGTGGTCTGCCTTATCGACTACGTCGGCTAGGTGGAAGTGAGTTCCAGCCAACGTCTCGTAGAACTCGCCCTTGAGACACTTGGTTCCGTGCCCGTAGATGTCCTTGATTGCATCAACGGTACCGTACGAAAGCGAGTTGGGCCCAGTCCGAAGCACCGGATGTTTTTTGTGCTTCTCATAGAGAGTCTTGGATCGGAAGCCGAGTGCAGCTTCGCGCATGAAAACTAGATTGGTCACGCCGGCTAAAGGCTTGAAAGCCGGAAATCGGCGAAGTCTTTTGGGGTCTCGGAAGTATTCGATCAAGGGATAGACGATGAAGTAGAATAAGACGCTCAGCAAAGCTGACAAGGGAAGTACAATTGCGTACATGACGAGGTCCTATTTCAGCTGGCTTGGAAGATTTGTTTGCAGAGGTCTGGTGTAGGGAGTTTGATACTTCGATTCCGACGCTAGCTAGCATATCAGCACGGCATCTCACTTGTGATAGCGAGCTTTGAAATAGTCATTCTGTCCGGTGCAATCAGCTGACTTCAAGATCAAACACAAACGCAACGGGTTATGTATCCCGCGGAGTGCCAGCTTTGGAGACATCACAACAGTCATTCCCATGCTCTTCAGGCGCCTCTAGTGCAGGCGGACAAAAGCAAGAGGACGACAAATTGCCTACTTCGTCACCCAAGGGGTCCCTGTCAGACAAAATTGGCGTCTTCTGATGGGTCCAGATCAATGCCCACGGCACATGGCGACGTTGACCATCTCTAGTCTCACGCACTCCCCGCATGCCAAGATCGAGTTGATCGGACCCAACTTTCCTATCCAAGACGTCTCGGATTGGAAGTTGCCTATTTGGAGAATACCCCACGTTCAGGCGTGGCGTTTGTTCAGGAAAGGAAACTTGTCAGCCGCAGTAGATCGCGCGACTTGCCTATTTGACTTCAGATAGGCAAGCCCAATTCCAGTCTAGGCAAGTCGGCAGTCATGCATCGCGCCGCGTGTTTCCAAACTCGATGTCCCGCCCACATGGATAGTTACACAAGCGCCGGGAAGGTTTGGATGAAAGCCCGACGACAACTTACCTTGGAGACCTCGATTTTTAATCCCTAAGTACAGGTACTTGATGACGGGAGGTAGCTTGTTTTCACCCCCTCCCCCCGATGTCCAACTAGCCACTTGCAATCGAAGGGCTCTTTACGTTTTTGCTATCAGCTCAGATACGCCAACTGGAGAAGACAAATCCAATAAAATCCTTCACGAGTCCATCGATACCCACGCGTTATTGGCCTTTTCTCATTCGCTATCAGATGACTACTGAAAAGCCACAATTGATTTCTTTCCGAAAAGACTGGTCACCCGTTGGAGTGGCATTGGCCTAATCCTTGTCGTTTTATTGCACCTGAATAGCGTGATGCTGACCCATCGAGTACTCGCCTTTCTGACACGGGCCTTTCCACTCAATTCAGGTTTGTTATAGTTACGATTTCCGACACAAGATCCTACTTCAGGACCTTTCGCCGACGTTTGTAGTTTTGTCTCACCGGCTTGAGTACCGGTCAATAATGATTTGCCTCCCCTAACCTAAGATATGATCACCAACTCTTCCATACTGAGTGAGAGTCATCTCCTTTCAAAACAGTCTTCATCTTTCTCATCATGAAGTCGAGCTTCTAAACTCATTCCCATCACCATTTGTCTTGTCAGGGTTGCCGAAAGCCATACTGACGAGACCTCTAACTTCCTAGAGGAACAACTGTTCCAATTCCACACATGATACTTATCCGCTGCATTCTTATAGTTACCTTGATTATTCTGGTTATTGCCAATTCCCGGAACACCTTCACTTAGAGAGTGTTACGAACTCCGCAAAACGACATGACTACAACTCCTCCACAACACTGATCTGCCTTTTGTTTCCTCTTTTACCAATTATCCCAGCCTTGATGGTTGTGAGTACTTCATCGGGGACTCTCACTCCTCCTCGGGAATTGAGCATCTGAGCATCCGCCATTTTGTTTACGTGTTCCTTCAGAGACCCACGGTGCCAAATGCTTCAAGTCACCAAGATCCACTTCTTCGGGCTGCTCGTCCGGTGGCCTATTATCACCATCCCGACTTGAGTGATTTGCAGCTAGTGCTTTAGTATCGCGTTCATCCTTTACGGCGGGCAACACACCGGTTGAATGGTGTCCGATTCCCAGATCCACATGGCTAATGTCCCGAAGAGAATGATCAGGCTCATCGTTGTCGTTGTCAACAGAAATTAGTTCGTGCAACCGATCGCTCGGTCGCAAGACACTATCCCCAATAGTCCTCATTCTCGGCCTAGCACCAAATATGGAGCTTACATTTTGAACTGTTCGTCTCCTTCGTAAAAATAGACGACGGAAATAGTCTCTAAAGGCAGGCATGCAAGAGCAGAAGATGAAGCCGTTTAACTCGACGAATGACCAGTTGGAGATTGGCACAATGTCCCCTAGTAAGCGTCAGTACTCGCGTTTACAATAAAACAACCAACTCACATGTCGGATTCGAAGTCTTCATGAAATCTCTGATCGAGCTGAGTCTCAGAATGGAGACAAAGGTGATCCTACAACGTATATTAGCTCTTATCAATCCCACATTTCCGGGTTCCGCAGGGCACAACTCACAACAATGCTACAGCGAACATCATACCGGCCCCAACCTTCTGTCTCCATCGCCAGTTGAGCCTGACGATTTGAGAAATGGGCATCGCTACTACAATAACATCAAGAGCAATATTGACCGATGCATGGGCCCAAGTCTGAACATTAATATCGTGGCAACGGCCTTGGTGTTCTCCATCCCACTTAGTCCAGGTGTAGCTGATGGGCCAGCACTGAACCGAAGTCGCAACTAGGAATGAAACGGCTGATATGACGCATGCCCATATGACACCCCAAGTCAAGCGCCTAAACTTTTCATCGGAAAATAGGCGCAAGTAGAAGAACAGGAAATTCGTCTTCGCAAACATGACGGTGAATGCGTAAAAGTGCTCTCCGATGTAGAACAGCTTGCCGAGTCGGGTAAGCTTGGACTCTTCTCTTTTTGCGAACCTCATCGTCTGTCATTGCACTTACTTTGAAGAATTCGTTGATTTGCTCCGGTGTGAGTGTCCAGATGTCTTTTCCGAGGCCATTTTGAACCGCTGCAACACGGATTAGATTCCATTCCAGGATTCTTTCCTCCGTGTATGGCTGAGGACGGCTTACTGAACACAACAACCACGCTCATGGGTACTGACATCAACTAGACCAAGTTTACTTTAGTCATGGTACAGATCAAGTCGACACTTTGTCGTCATAGAGAAACATACCATTGAGAAAATCAGGGCATAGTCATCCAGTCCGATCGTATAATCCAACCGTGAGAGCTGGGAGTACATGCGGACACCAACACTGAATACAGCCACAATAGCCCCTGCTACGGCACTCGCAGTGGCTGAGGGACCTCTATCTCGATTGGGAAGTCCACAAATGTCGAATATGATTCTTTGGCTCTCTGCATTTATCAACATGAATCCTGTTAAAGGCGTCGAAGGCGGAGAGGCACATACTTAGTCCATCGACGACA